TTCAAACCCAGGACCTTCTTGCTGAGAGGCGAGAGTGCTATCCACCCAGCCACCGTGCAACTGTGAAACTTTTTCTGTCACTATATTTAGTTCATTTATGTCTTTATTAAAGGAGCAATATGTAAAAATCTGGCCAAAAGTGGTACTGCAGTCACAGTCAATATTTTGTAGTCCTCTCCCACTCTCCCTGACTCAGGTTGCCAGATTCACACCAAATCCAGCAGCAAACACAGGGAATTATTTTATCAGTTGTTTGTCCGTCTCCATTCACATTGTCATGACAGCCGTGCTAATGCTGAATGAATGTTTTGATTCATGTTTTTTTATTATTATAATTTGGACATTTGAGATAAAAAACAAAAACAAAATAAAAGCAATGTAATTATACATAGTTTATGCAAAATAAATAAGAAATTGATGTCCAAAATAGGAGTGGGAAGAATGGATGTTGGAACGTATTTCTTCAGCGTATCAACATCAGGGTTTGCTCAAGAGGATATCACCTTTCAATTTTATTTATTCCCTATTTATTAGACAAACATGTAAAAGTCCCACATCAAAAAGAGACTAACATTATTTTAATTGGGGTACATGTGGTCTTAAATGATTATTTTTACAATGAAGCTATAATCTGCAAAAAAACGTCTTGACCTTCATCTTTTACCGTTTTTAGAGCAATCTGTCATAGAATGTGATAATATGCAATAAATACAAAACGGCATAGCCCGGGATCGAACCCGGGTTCCTGCATCGTAAGCGCGCAGCTTAGACCGCTAGGCCACCAGTTCACACGAACAGAGACACCGTGAAGAACGCAATCAACCTAGAAAATTCTGCATCACACGTGAACTTTTATCAGCTGTCTCAATTGTTCAAAGGCATCCCGATATAAATCCTCGTTTTAGTCTTTGTTTTGTCATTAATTATTTGAGAGTCATAACAAGACCTTTTTTAGTTCTACGCCACATGTTATTTTACCACTGAGATTAATGAGCCGCGCGGAGTTCTGGCAACTCGATCACTGACTTACATGACACTTCCTGATTGGCGAAACGGCGGAGGGTAGGACATCAAAATCAAAACAATAACAACTTTTACGGGTTGTAAAACTAATTTTGATGATCAAATATCTCGGCTGAACTACTGTTATCAGTTAAAGATGAATTCGAAAAGAGTATGATTTAATAACGCCTTTTGAAATATTCGGGTCATTTAATGATGACTTGACATGCAAATATTACATATTGCTCCTTTAAAGATAAATCTAACAGTATTTCTACCGAACTCCCAAGACAACTTAGCATTTGGCAGTTTTTTGTTTTATGTATTTCAAGTTCACCAGTTTTAATTTTGTTCATACGACATTTGAGTTGAATTGTTTTTGGGTCTGTGGCCATTTGGGAAACTAATCAGATCATGTGCACTTTACAGAATATTCTTTACTTTATCTCGACAGAAATCTGTTGCAGGTTCAAGAGTCTGAAGTTGGCTAAAGGGTTGGCTCTTTGGGTTTAGTTCATTTGCTCGGACAGTTTCAGCCCCAGCCTCGTCTCCCCTTCACCAGACCTCTGATAATCTGTCTGCCACAAATTGTTTTACGTGTTCTTCATATTTAGCAAATATTTAGTCCTTTTTTTATAGGCATGAAATGAAAGATATGTGTTCAAAAGGCACGAGAGTTCTTTGAGAGTCTAACACAAACCACTGTTCTGTCTTGACCTTCCATAGTTCCCAAATCTTTAAACTTCATTAATAAATGCATTAACACCAATCATATGTATCAATAACTAGATTCCTGGCCAACACTTTGACTTTAGATACATTTGAGATTTGCATTTTTAAATTCATCCAAAATAACTCAATCTACACTGTTACAATAAAAATGTTTGTGTATATTTCTTTGTTCCAATTAAACAGCGGATCACTTTAAAACCAGTTTATCGCTTTAAACTCTTTATTTTATTTACACAATAAAGAGCAAAGCTTTGAATCAGGTCTAGAGTTTATGAAAGCCTTCTATGTTTAGCGTCCATTCCCTTTAGTTCATTCCTGTGAATGAGGCGTGTGTGTGTGTCATCAGACTGAGAGAATCATGAAAAACACAAGTCAATAATATTTGAATAAACCTTTTTAATCTCAACAGCAAGTTAGCTTATGTGCGGTCAACACCAATGAAGGTAAATATAAAACTGAGTTTCTAGTAATAGATATTTTGTTTATCAGCAGGAGGTGAAGTTATGATACCTGGAAACACAACCACAAAAATTGCCAAGTTTTTAACTGGAGAGATATTGCTCTTATACTTAATATGGCGTACGATAATTGACCAACATCAAGCGGGTAGAGAAGCCGACTCCACACGGTGGTCGTACAAGGAAACGTCTGAGGGACTTTGGTTTTCTGTACCTTTCCAAAAACCTGGCACTACTCAGGTTTTTAATCATAAAATGAACAAAACATGACGCTCTTGAAATTAAGTAAAAGGCACACGGGACACTACTCAACACCGAGTGAATGGAGCGTGTGCCAAAGACCCACTGCGCTCCTCATTTGTACAAAGTGTTCACACGGACAAAAGAAACGCTCACACAAGACATCACTGTGTGTATTGTGTCCGTTATTCACCAGGAAGAAAGAGGAGAAAGGTGTTTCCTATGATTTCACTTTGTTTCATCTGACAGGAAATGACAGATACAACTGCTTTCGGCTCTCCTTCCCCTGATCCTCAAAGTGCTCCAGTATTAGACTTCCACAGATCAACCCCTGGTTCAAAAATACAACAATATGGACCTAAAGGTGAAATCCAGTCTTTTTTTCATTGTGGAGAGAGGTTTAAATAATATATCAACAACAGTTCAGAAAAGTCTCATTTACATTGCTACTAGTGTGCGTCCTAACATTCATTATGGTCATTGTTTTATCATCCAAAGATTATATATATGTATTTATAAATAACTAAATGTTTGAGAGTCCAACCCATTATCTTTCAAAAGTAGTTTTAGAAAGTGGATTTCTCCTTTATGCCCTGCAAAGGACAACAAACACTGTTGGTCCATAAATTCTATTGACATAAAGAGTAAATAACTTATGGCATCAGAGGGGCTTGTATTTACACGTGTTTATGTCACAGAACTTCTGTTTATGAACAAAGTCTGCCAACAGATTCTTCAGGGACTCCACATGATTGGAGACTTCAATGAGTGAGAGCAGAGACATGACTGAAGCACAGAGGATTTCCAACAGAATCTAAGCTACAACTGCACGGCTGCAATACTGTTCATCCAAGGATCTACCACAAACAAAGAGGATTTCAAAAGGTGAAGTCAGGATTGTGCAAAAGAATCACTTTCAAATACTCTCTCACACACACACTCCTTCTCACACGCACACACACTCTGTCCAGAGGCATAATCTGTGGTTACTTCATCTGCTCCAGTGATGTCACTGCTGTACAGGTGAGGCTTCTTTCATAATCCCTACACATCAAGGATTATTTGACTAATCCCTACACATTGGGATTATAATATATTGCTTCAGTATTGCCACAAACATTATTATATTGGAGATGCACCACAACTTCATACTTCCTTCTGAATCACACCAGCCCTCATTTATCTGCTAATGCAGCAGCAGTGGATGTGTGTTAGCACAAGTGTCATGACGCTGGGGTTCAGCCTCAGCTGGAAGTCGGAGAAGCGTCAGTAGAGGTCGACCGATACGGGCTTTTTTCTAGTCCATGAAAACACTTATTTTAAAAGGCCGATTGGCATCGTAAGCATGCTGGGTGTATTCTATTTCCAAATTCAAAGGGGATCGGTGCTAATGCCAATGCACTCACTATTTCATTTGTGTAAGGTTTGTCTACAGCTCATCTGTAGTTATTGTTGTGTTCTACTCTGTACTTGTTTTTATTATGGGGGTATTTTGAACAAAATATTACTTGTTGTCCAGACAAACCTACAAAAGAAAGAATATCCAAACCTAGATTGAACAAAATAGGGGCAGTTAAACAGAAGTTTATGTCGCGTTTTGGATCTACAGATATCGGTCTCTGATGATTTGCTACTTTAGGGTTTATTGTTTAGAGCAAAATAAAAGTGGTCGCTTCCTGAGAGAATAAGGTTTGAAATGAGGTATAACATGGCATCATAGCATGGCATCAAGAGGTTACGGCCAACAGCCATTATTTCAACAACTCGGCTCAATATATCGCCCAATATATCGGTCGATCTCTAGTGCTCAGTAGTGTAAGCTCCATTAGCTTCAGTAGTTTCAGTAGTTTTAAGTTTCATACAAAAGTACATGATTGGTACTTCAAGAGTGAGAATGTAGTTTAGGCTCAAGTGCACATTGTGAACATAAGAGCAACACTTCAATGTTTACATTCAATACAAGTCTTTAGAATGTGTGCTGTGCATCATAACAGCCAGACAAATGAGGGCTCCTTCCTCAGACGTGCAACTACACCAACACATCTGAATCTACAGTCCGTCGGTCAACTGAAGGTGGAGCATCTTTCATTCAAACAGGTTTCATTATTCAACCTGCCAATGAAGAGGATGAACCCGTGGAGAGGCACCCCAGCAGGACCAGGACCAGGGCTTTGTCTCTGTGTCCTGTTTCCAAAGAAAGAGCACAAGGGTCTAGCCTTTGTGCTTTTGGTTTCTAGTATTAAATGTGTTCCAGACTGCTCAGTCGTTGCGCACGTGTGGAGAGATGCAGTCTCTTCTTCACAAGCTGCGACTCAGAGCATTCTCTCAGGAACAGCACTGAGCGGCACATCTGCTGCTGCCTCTGAGCGCAGGGACCAGGACGACAGCAAGAAGGGGAGGTAGGTTAAGGGAGGAGTTTGGTACAAGGATCCTGACGACTAAGAAACATAGATTGTACGAGTCATACAAAATCAGAACACTTCCCCGTTTGCCTGTGACCTCTGCTTACATCTCCAGGTGCTGCCAGAGTTCTCTTTGCTTAACACTGATTCCAATTGAGCTTCAGCTTCAGTTGACTAGTACAAATCCATGCTGAGGGTCCACAGTCTCCATCATCTCCGTGTCGAGGATGGAGGCCTGGAGCTCCCCCTCGTGTGCAGAGGGCGGCATGGGGCAGGGCTCCAGGGGAAAGTGGTAGTGCTCCGTCAGGGCCTCAGAGGAGCCGGGGCAGAGGGCCGGCTCACAGCTGGTGGGGTAGCTGTAGCTCAGGGCGCTGGCCTCGAGTTGGTGAGGGCTCATTTGTAGTGAGGGGTTGATGTGAGAGGGGTAATGCTGAGGGCTCATGTAGGGCTCGTAGAGCAGAGGGCTCATGTCACTCGGCTCTAGCAAAGGACTCAGGGGGTGACCGAAGGACGAGGCCTGTGCAGGTCCCGACTGCTGCACCTGGGAGCTGCTGTCAGCAGGACCTCCAGCAGAGAAGGAGCCCTCAGCGATCTGCATCTGATTGAAGTACGTCTGCAGACCCATCCCCTGGGACTGATGCAGGTACATCCGCTTCTGGTTCAGTCTGTGGAAACACATCCAAAGCCAAACTGACTACGTGACATCATAGCATCACACACTGTGCATTTATGAGCAGCAGCATGGGCCAAACTTTCCATGGGAATGAAAATGTGGATACAGAAAAAGCAAAATGTTTCCTTGCACCAAATCAAACCTCTATACACAATGCATATTGAATTGCATTTGATGAAATTTAGGATTAATACATGATAGATGAGCATTAGTTGTGGAATATATGGGCTTATCCAGAACTCATTTGAAATAGACTATTCTAGGACCACAAACCTATGTGCTTAACTAATTTACCTGGACATGGCCTTTTGTATCCAGTTGTGAAAGCCATATCTACTGGATTTAGGTCAAAGAACAATAGTCCAGACTGAAGTTAAAGAGGAATTTGTACAATACCTGTGTTCCTGCAGTTGTTGCTCTAAACTTCGAGGAGCTTCCTTACAGAAAAGCTGGCAGCTAGCAGGGCTGTTAGCCATGACACTTGCCTTCAGGACAAAAGAACATTTGGACTGATGACTGATGGTCATTTTACTGACAAATGTTTTAGCAACAATTATTTACAACTGAGAAAATCAGGTAAAATGTAGTTTTTATTTAAGGACTGTACCTGAAGCCTATGTGTGAAGTACTGTGTCTCCAAGCTCTGTCTGCGGGAAAGCAGAGGTGGTTGGGGAACACTTTGGTACATAGTATGCCCCTGGTGCTGCTTGGACGCCTCTCCCTTTATCAAGCACATAGACCATGAGGTGTTAAAGGTGTGAAAGTGGTCCACACAAGCAAGTCTGTATGCATTACCCACAGACCCCTGTGATGTGAATGCTGGTTCCAGGGATGTTTTGTATAACATGGTTTGCAATTTATTTAAATGGAATGAGAGCAAATAAATTAAAAGCATGAGTGGGCCAGATGTCATAACAAAGCTGTTATTGCTATAAAGCTGATGGACTATTGATTGGGAGCTCATCTCAGAAGCCTCTGAAATGGCTGCCGTGTCAGGAGCCTCCGTGACCAGTGATTGTGCGGTTTCAGAGAGAACAGAGTACCAGTCGCTGCTATGGGCTGGTGGGGCAGACTATAACAATGAGTGCATTCAGTGAAACTCCGGCCCGGGCTTCAGGCATTGGGGAGAGACACAAACAAGCCACACTTGGCACCCGTCTCTTGGGGTTACACAACAGCCTGTTTGCCTGTTTTCTGGACACAACAGGGGTCAGTGTGGAGCAGTAGCTGTGTGTGTGAGATTAGCTTGTATGGGCTTGAACTGTGTGTGTGTGTGTGTGAGTGTGAGATAACCATTACTGACCTCCAGGAGATTGTGCAAGTGGTGCTGTTGTCCCAAGGGCCCCATCATGGCCCCTTCTGCAGAGTCCATCTGCTCCACAAGCATCTGGACCTTATTCAGCTCCAGTATGCCTTTGGTCCTCGCAAGATTCTGAAGGTGTTGCCGGAAAGCAACCAATCCTGAAAACATGTTTGTATATAATGAAGTTAGAACTGGTTTTCCTGTCCCCATTTCATTAAATTTTCCATGCTACGAGTTAAAAGAAAAAATTCCCATTCATTCCATTGTATAATATTTCTATAACATAAATGAGCTGAAACCTGTAGAAATGACGTCTTTATCAGTTTAAGTGAATTTGCGTATGCTCTGATTGTTAGTGCAAGTGTGTGCAATGACAGCATCAGTGTGTGTTACTGTGTGTGTGTGTGTGTGTAAAACAAGTCTCATCCAGGGGTAAGGAGCAGTGCAGTGAACGACAGAGCCTGACTCACTGCGATGGTGGAGTTATTTAAAACACAAATAAGTGTCTGACGCAAACAAATGCACTGTGCTTACTCTTACCCCACACAGCTGCACATCGTCATGACAATAATCAGGCCACAAAACCTACAAGTCTAGAATCCACTCTGCTCGGACTCAAAGACTTCAGATATATGGATATGATCATCATTACTGGATGAAAACACATGAGAAAAGGCTCCAGAACCAACCAGCAGCACATCCTCTGGAGGCACAGTCAGTGAAGAGAGGTGTGGGCGGAGGGCTTCAGATCTGAGTCTGAATCACAACATGAATCATCTCAGACTCTCGTCAGAGGAATCAGATGTGAGGAGGAAACATGTGCCCAACAGAAGGAGCAGGAGAAATAGGGCGAAGACCATGTTCCTCTGAAGCACCATGTGCGCTATCTCTGCACCTGAGCGACCAGCAGCAGAGAGGGACCAGCAGTGTCAAGAGACCAGCAGCAGAGAGGGACCAGAAGTGTCAAGAGACCAGCAGTGTCAAGAGACCAGCAGCAGAGAGGGACCAGCAGTGTCAAGAGACCAGCAGCAGAGAGGGACCAGAAGTGTCAAGAGACCAGCAGTGTCAAGAGACCAGCAGCAGAGAGGGACCAGCAGTGTCAAGAGACCAGCAGCAGAGAGGGACCAGAAGTGTCAAGAGACCAGCAGCAGAGAGGGACCAGCAGTGTCAAGAGACCAGCAGCAGAGAGGGACCAGAAGTGTCAAGAGACCAGCAGCAGAGAGGGACCAGAAGTGTCAAGAGACCAGCAGCAGAGAGGGACCAGAAGTGTCAAGAGACCAGCAGCAGAGAGGGACCAGCAGCAGAGAGGGACCAGCAGTGTCAAGAGACCAGCAGCAGAGAGGGACCAGAAGTGTCAAGAGACCAGCAGTGTCAAGAGACCAGCAGCAGAGAGGGACCAGCAGTGTCAAGAGACCAGCAGCAGAGAGGGACCAGAAGTGTCAAGAGACCAGCAGTGTCAAGAGACCAGCAGCAGAGAGGGACCAGCAGTGTCAAGAGACCAGCAGCAGAGAGGGACCAGCAGTAGAGAGGGACCAGCAGTGTCAAGAGACCAGCAGTGTCAAGTGATCAGCAGTGTCAAGAGACCAGCAGCAGAGAGAGACCAGCAGTGTCAAGGGACCAGCAGTGTCAAGAGACCAGCAGCAGAGAGAGACCAGCAGTGTCGAGGGAGCAGCAGCAGAGAGGGACCAGCACCAGAGAGGGACCAGCAGTGGAGAGGGACCAGCACCAGAGAGGGACCAGCAGAGAGGGACCAGCAGTGGAGAGGGACTTTTATAGCTTCAATAATTCATTATGATTTGTCAAGTCCAAATAAAATCACAGGAACTAGAAAATGAGGATTTTTAAAATGTTAGACCATAATGTTTGTTTTCACCTTTTAAGTAAAGATAAGATAACCTTAATTTGAGAACCATTTAAGATATATATATATAAAAATATATCATAATTATTATAATTTTAATAATCAGACATGGAATGCTTCTACTTTACTTACATCAATCTCAACCTTCCATTTTCATATTGTAAGTGATAATTTGGTCAAAGGTTAGGGGGGATTTCAGTAGTTTGAATGTGATGTTCGTTCCTGAGGTTCACAAAGTTGTTTTTTTAAATGCACAGTCACTGCACAAAGATTTTTTACGAGCAGAGTGTCTGTACGATGAGGTCAACTTTAAACAGCGTTGGGTTTCTCCAGGAGGATATTGGATTCTTTCTGGATGCTTGTCTCGAGGCTGCAGCAGTTCTAACAGAGACGGACACTGACCTTGAGTGAGGGAGGTGTCGGAGGCACGGCGGCCTTCTCTGAAGCTGATGGGCGAGCGGTTGTGCGCCTCCCGGTGGTGGGAGGACAGGGCGTCCATGGTGGGGTTCGGGACTCGAGAGATGAGGAACTGCGATGGGCCGACCTCAGCGACTGGTGAGGACTCCTCCAAAAGACCAAAGTCACTCTGCACCGAGCCCATGTCGTAGCCCATGTCAGAGTCCACACTGCCCATGGAGGGGTTGTGCCCGAGGGGGAAAAGTTTACCTATGGGTACAAACACCATTCAGTACAAAACACTACAGCTGGGTGAGCTGGGCAACATTTTTTACCTTATAGATTATTTTTTTGTTTTGTTAAATATTGTTAAACGGACCAAATAGCTGACATTTTCTATTGCCAAACTTAGGTATTTGAAGAGGAAAATGTTTTTCCATCCATCCATCCATCCATTTTCTACCCTTTAATCCATTTCTGGGTCAGGGGGGTGGCAATCAGAGATGCCACCCAAGTCTCATAGCACCAGCCCCTCACTGACCCTCTGCAGGTGGTGAGTCCACAGGAGCTGAGATCTTCCAGCGGGGGCTTTTTGGGCAAAGTGGGGTTAAGTGTCTTGCCCAAGGACACAACGACAGCAGTCATCAGTGGGAGTCGGTGGAGAAGGTGTAGAGGTGGGAATTGAACCCACTACCTTCTGGCCTTAAGGCCAATGCTCTACCAACTGAGCTACTGTCGCCTCTCCCGTCTTTTGCATAGTGTTATGCTGGTTCCCACCTCTGCACCTTCTCCACCGACTCCCACTGATGACTGCTGTCGTTGTGTCCTTGGGCAAGACACTTAACCCCACTTTGCCCAAAGCCCCCACTGAAAGATCAAGGCTATGCTCACACTCAGAGAGCAGCCGTCCTCCTGTGGACTCACCACCTGCAGAGGGTCAGTGAGGGGCTGGTGCTATGAGACTTGGGTGGCATCTCTGACTGCCACCCCCCTGACCCAGAAATGGATTAAAGGGTAGAAAATGGATGGATGGATGGATATGCTGGTCCTCGACTGTCTTTCCAATCTTCTTTTCCAAACCGAAAAATCAGATAGTAGCAATATTATCAAAATTATACAAACAGTATTAAAGTGTTTCAAGCCTCCTCCAGTGCGGCTGAATAAGCAGTCACTTAAAGCTGGAAGACCTAACCTATTTTTCTCCTCTTAGAAAACATGTTATCTTTCACATACTCTTTCTTTTCACTGCAAAAAGCTGACCCAAAGATGTGACAGAAACCAAACATAGATACGAAAACTATTGATAGAATCCAACTGTTTTGAGAGCAAAGAGTTTTTGAGTGTTGAGTACTTAGTAATTATATAGTAAGCATCAGCAGAGTGTAGAGAGTGAAGTTTGTATTGAATGATACAGGACACATCGGCTAAGTGCCCACCTTGGTGCTGCCCAGGCTGGTTGGTGACCTCTGAGAGGGTGTGCCTGCGTTGGCCAAACCGAGCCGTCTGATAGGCTGAGAGCAGGTGGGGAGGATCGTCTTCGGTGTCGGGCTCTTCTGTCTCAATGCCCTCATCGATTGACGTCTCCATCATGTTACTAGGAGATGATGTGGAAGACTTGCGCAGGACAGCAGAGGGGGGCAGTGGGTCCAGCATGCAGCCGTTCACCTTGATAAGAGACAAGAGCATTAGTTCAGAACTCACTGCTGTTTTCCTTCTCCTCGCCTCACAGCCTGATGTGTGCTGATGTGTGCTGATGTCTGCGTGCATATGCGGGTATGTAAGGATGAAAGAATGCAGAGGCAGGATGTCAGCACTCAAGGTTTTGTTTGGCTGACAAAAACAAAAATAATTTACAATAGTTACAAAAACAAAGGCAAAGATCACCAGCAGAAGTTTCCACAGAAACAGGAAAAACTAGGATTGGAGGAGATTGAGACACTTTTACAATTTTCCCCTTTTTTGAGACAAATTCCCATCTGCTTTTAGCGCCAGGATAGGAATGCGGTTACTCAACATGCACAAAATAAAGAAACATTGGATAATAATACAAGGGTGGGGGTAAAATGAGTGAGTCAAAGGTAAAATATAATAAGAACAGGGGGAAAATGTTCTTGGCTTGGACCCTAGCAGCGGCGGCTTCCTGTGCATGTGGGTTCGCTCAGATTCGCATTAGGTCACATCATCATCACAGGACTGCTTACATAACCAGGCACCATTCAAACAGATAACACACTCCGTCTGCTCGCAAAACCCCCTCACTCACGAAAGAGAACAAAAGTACACTTAGAATCCTTCAGAGGGGCCAAGCGAGGGGCAGGAACAACCAATACGGCAGTGTTTAACTCTACTTTTATGTGCCGTTTGTTTTATAGCACAGCGGCTGTAGCTCGAGGGAAAAGGCTGTGGGCACAAAAACACAAACAGTGGTCGTGTTGATGTGGTCTAAATGTGGGGTGCTTTGCTGTCGAGGAGCAGCAGCTGTCTGCCCTGATGGGAGTGTGAACCGAGCGCTTACATAACAGGTCAAGTCCACTCCTCTGTGGAGCCGGCCAGTGTCCCCAACCTCAACAAAAGAAAAGGGGGCCTTGTTTCACCAACGCTGGACCAAACTTATCTGGTGCCATCAGCAGCATCTTCATGTTTGTCATGTGGGAGTTGTACAAGCAGATAACTACTAAATAAAAGGAAATATTTCAGCTACAAAAGGTCAAATTGAGGACATGCAAGACATTTATCATCTCCAATATGATTATTGCTGCAAAATTGTATTAAATTATTTATTACTGTCACAAACCAGGTGCCACCTGGATATTGGGGGAAATCCTTCTCAGGTGAACTTAATGTGACCAACAGTTAATCTTTTTTGTAGCATTTGTATCCAATGGAATGTCCCTTGTATTGAGACGTGGATTATATCGGCAGACTTCAGTATCAGACTTCAGTATCAGATTGTGTTACTGATTAACCCTAAAGTTGTGTAGTGGTTGTAGAGAGCAGGCCACAGAGAGCGAGCCTGCGGGACAGAGCAGAGGATGCGGTGCTGCTGAACGTACTTTGGGCGTGTTGACTTCGTCCACCATGAAAGTGTGTTCCAAGGGGCTGTGAGTCTGGGGGAAGGTGAAGGCGTCAGAGGAGGTTTGGGGGACAGCAGGGGAACGCAACAGCCGCACGCCCTGAGGCAGCAAACCCACCTGGGCCGAAGCGTTGGACGACTGTGAAGACAACAACAGCAGCGTGTCAGCCTTTCATAAGACATCAAAAACATCTCATTCAACATCCCAACCAATTTACATGCATGCATAAAGTGAGAAAAGATGGTGTGAAATTAAGAACGTGTAGGACAGATTGAAAGAGAAGGAAGTGAGGAAATAATAAGTAATGAATAACAAAACCCTTGAAGATGCTGTGACGGGCTGGACAAATACATCAATGGTGTTCCTTCATCAGGTGCAGGTGTGAATGACCACGCTTTGATCCAAAAGGTGTAGATGCTAATGCTTGCGCACATATATATAATACCACAGACGTGCACGTTACCTTGACAACGGTCTGCTCCGCAATGGTGCTGGGCCTCCGCTGCCGGGCGTCCAGCCGCTGCTCCACCGGGAAACTGCAGCGATGGGCCTTGAGTCGCTCCACCAGCAGGTAGTAGATAGCAGCAAAGTGGTTATAGCTCTTGTTCTGCAAAGACTGATGGCACAAGTATTAGTGAGTATATTTAGGGCAGAAGACGAACAATGACAAGTGAAAATAAAAAGAAATACAAATGTGACAAAGCCTTTAAACGTACAAAGTAATTGATGTTCAAAATCATGGAATATTCCACAAATACTGAAAAGAGTATTATGATATCTTCTAAAGCCTGTTAATGAATATTAAATATATTTTTACAATTAGATTATGCAGTTGATTTCTCACAATTGTTTCACGTGACCTCTTTTTTAAAGAGCTTTTAAGATATTGCAATATTATATTAAGAGGACTGATTTTATATTATTTATATATATATACATATACATATACATATACATACATACACATATACATACAAAGGTAGTGCGACCTCTGGACAGAGCAGTCGCATTCTCTTGCTGCTCCTCGCTTGCTGCTTTTTTATCTCCTTTAATCATTTTTGCTTACATTTTTATTCCACAAAACACGGATTACTCCTTTTTACAAACTTCAACACAAGACTTGTGGAATTTACCTAACTTACAGCATGTCGGGAGGACGGGAAAACAGAACAAAACTTTGCGACGGCTGTTTTTCACTCAAACAGGAGCTAAAACTTCTTCAAGACCGAATGTTTGTGCTTGAATCAGAATTGGGGCTGAACACAACAATACCAGTGAAGGGAAATGGACCAAATGGACAAAACGTAAGTTATGATGACGCTATTTCATTTCCCAAAATCAACAGAGACAATTGTTGGAACACATATGGTGCCAAGCCCAAACAAGGCAAAGCTAATGATAACAAGAGTGTCATAATGCCACAGCAAAAATCTTTAATTACAAGAAACCGCTTTTCCCCACTTTTGGAAGATGAATCAGCAGTAGTCTCTCAGTCCCAGTCTCAGTCAAGGTCAAATGCAGCTGAGTCGCTCTTTATCGGCGATTCGGCGATAAGACGCGTAAACATGCGTAATCTCAAGGTTCACTCAGTACACTCTGCCAAAGTGGATGAGATAAGGCGGCTGGCTCCGAGGCTTCTGTCTGAGACCGGCGGGGTAAAAAGATTGTTGATCCACGTGGGGGCAGTAGACGTCTATGACAACACAAGTGAAAAGTTGAAACGGGATTACTCTCTCTTATTGGACGACCTTGCTAAAATGGACGCAACAATCGTTATCAGTGGCCCACTACCAAATGTGGACGGGAAGCAAATGAAATTCAGTCGTCTGTATCAGCTAAATACTTTCCTACTCAACGAATGTTCACGCAGAGGACTTGCCTTCATTGAGAATTTTAATCTGTTCTGGAATAGGCATGAGCTTTTTGAAGGGAAAGGGCCACATCTGAACACTTACGGAGTAAAAGTGTTGATGGATAACCTTTCTTTTGCCCTGAGACCTCAGCCTGCGCAGCTCGTGCAGCCATCGAAAAGGAGGAAGCCGACTCTAAAAGTCTCTGCACCTCCACCACCTCGAAGGATCTCAACACCTCCACCACATCGAAGGATCTCAACACCACCACCACCTCGAAGGATCTCAACACCTCCACCACATCGAAGGATCTCAACACCACCACCACCTCGAAGGATCTCAACACCACCACCACCTCGAAGGATCTCAACACCACCACCACCTCGAAGGATCTCAACACCACCACCACCTCGAAGGATCTCAACACCATCACCGCCTCAAAGGATCTCAACACCTCCACTGTCATCAGAAGCAGCTGCATCATCACCAGTAGCAGCACCAGCAGCACGACCACCACCACCACCAACATCCTCACCCCCAGCCTGCTCCAAAGCAGCCACGCCTTCTTCTTCTACAGCGCCTCTGAAGCCCCCATCCTCACCCCAGGCTACAGCAGACAGGCCTGTGCTGGGTTTCCTCAACCACCTGCCCCTCCATCAAAGACTCCCTCGCCACCTCCCATGGACCTGTCTTGGGTCCCCCCTGCCACGTCCACTCCATCAAGAGAGAATGGGGACACGTCCCTTTGTTTTTCATCCCCGCCTTCACTGTTAGACCTACCTGAACACTCTGCAGGGCTAATAAAATCGGCGATGAAGACTATTCCTCTCACACCCATATTAGCTAGATCTAGAGTCCTGTCCAACATGCTAAACCACTCCCCATATGTACCTCCAAAACCACCTAGGGTTTCCAATTCACCTACAAAAACCACCTCAGCCAGTCCCTCCCCTAACCTCATGACCATTCCACCCCCACTTCCCCCTCGTTCAGCACCCAAAACCTCTGCCTCAGCCCACCCCGGCCCTAACCCATCACCAAAAACCCCTCCACCTCCCTGCCCCCCTCGTTCAACACCCAAAAGCCACCCACCTCTCCATCCTCCTCCCCCGCCTTCCCCTTCCCCTCTTTTCTCTAAACACTAGGATGCACAGGGTCTCTGCTTCGCAGCCACTGGCAGTCTAGTTAGAGGAGAGACCCGGCTGGGGCCCTGTCATGAAGCCACCTGTGCCATTCCCGTAGTGATAACACAAAGAATACATTACAGAAAGACATCTGGAGTTAATAAGTCTAATCTGGAAAATCTAATTCTTGTTCCGTGTAAGAATCAGCCGACCACAACCGCTGATACTGAAACTTTGAAACTTGCTACGCTTAATGTCAGATCTCTTTGTAACAAGTCTTTTTTAATCAATAATTTTATTTGTTCTCATAATCTTGATCTTATGTTCATGGCTGAAACTTGGCTTGACCAAAATTCAGGAAATGCAGTTTTAATAGAAGCATCACCACCAAATTTCAAGTTTGAATCTGAAATACGGGAAAACAAAAAAGGAGGAGGCTTAGCTGCCATTTTCAGAGACCACTTTGTCTCCCATAGAATGTCTCTTGGGAAGTTTTCGTCTTTTGAATATGTGTCTTTTAAAATACAACAAAAACAATCTCCTCCAATACTCTTCATTGTCCTATACAAGCCACCGCAGTCATGTCACAGTTTTATTGATAATTTTACCGAGTTGCTTTCAGTTGTATGCACAGATTTTGATAGTTTGGTTATTACAGGTGATTTTAATATTCATGTGGATAATGTTGATGACAGAAATGCAAATGAGCTGAGTTCTGTACTTGAATCCTTTGATCTCACTCAGCACGTAAGTGGCCCCACCCACAGCAGAGGGCACACTCTAGATCTGTTAGTTACTAAGGGGGTGAATATTTCAAATGTAAACGTGGTCGATGTTGCTTTTTCGGATCATTTCTGTGTTTTTTTTGACATGTGTTTCACTAACAAACCACCAGTGGACTCTGCAACTGTACGAAGAAGACACATAAATGAAAATACGAGTGAACTATTTATGGGAATGATAAACTTTGAGAATGCATCGTATTCTACTGTAGATGAACTGTTTAACTCTGTCACCTCTAGTGTTTTGAATGTTCTGGATACCGTTGCCCCTGTGAAGGTTAAAATAGTGAAAAATAAGCAGAAGGCGCCGTGGGCTAAAGCAGACTCGGTCAGGGCACAAAAGAGAAAGTGCCGGAGGGCCGAGCGGAAGTGGCGCAAGTCCAACCTCCAGGTTGATTACGAGATCTTCAAAGATAAGTTGTGCGAGTTTAACCGGGTGCTACGTAGTACGAGAGAAAGGTATTTTTCTGAAATGATTGAAGGCTGCAGCAACAATCTGCGTGTTCTGTTTTCAACAGTTAATAGATTAACAAACCCCCCTGTTCAATGCCATTAGAGCTAACTTCCAAACGTAAATGCAATGAGTTTGCACATTTTTTCAATGACAAGGTTCAAGGCATCAAAAACGCCATTGTCTCCAATCCACAGATAACCATCCAACAGCCAGAAAGGCTCTCTGAGCTAACTCACTTTGCACCTGTAAATGATAAAACTGTCCAAGAGATAATCTCCAGTTTGAGCTCCTCCACATGCAGCGTGGATGTACTACCCACTAGATTTCTGAAGTCTGTTCTGAGCAGTCTGTTACCTTCACTCACACAGATAGTAAACATGTCCCTTCATTCTGGAATATTCCCAAAGGCCCTGAAAACTGCAGTCATCAGGCCCCTGCTAAAAAAGAGCAGTCTCGATGCTACAGTACTTAACAACTATCGTCCCATCTCAAATCTGCCATTTATGGGGAAAGTCCTTGAAAAAGTTGTCTACCTACAGCTTACTAGATTTCTTATAATCAACAACTCATTTGATATGTTTCAGTCCGGCTTTAGACCCCACCACAGCACTGAGACTGCTCTCGTCAAGGTTACAAACGATATCCGGCTGAACACTGACGCAGGCAAAGTCTCAATCTTAATCTTGTTAGATCTAAGTGCTGCCTTTGACACCGTCGATCATGAGATCCTCTTACAGAGATTAGAGGACTGGGTTGGAGTCGCTGGCACCGCCCTAAGTTGGTTTAGGTCTTACCTTGAGGACAGGAAGTACTTTGTGGAGATTGGAAACTGTGTCTCAGATCATATGGCCCTGACCTGTGGAGTACCACAGGGGTCGATCCTGGGACCTCTTCTGTTCAATCTCTACATGCTGCCGTTAGGTCAGTTAATACGCAGAAACGAAGTTTCCTATCATAACTATGCAGACGACACTCAGATCTATGTCTCACTGACTGCAGGAGAACATGGACCAGTGGACTCACTCCTTCACTGTATCCAACAGATCAGTGAGTGGATGCAAAACAACTTCCTTCAGCTAAACGCAGACAAAACTGAAATGATTGTCTTTGGTCCCCAGAAACAAAGAGAGAGCGTCATCTGTCACCTACAGTCTCTCTCCCTAAAACCTTCAAACAAGGTCAGAAATCTAGGGGTAATACTGGACTCAGACTTAAATTTTAATAGCCACATCAAATCAGTAACATCAGCAGCTTTTTACCATCTAAAAAACATTGCCAGGATCAAAAACATAGTGTCTAAAGCAGACTTGGAGATTCTTATCCATGCATTTGTCTCCAGTAGGTTAGACTACTGCAATGGCCTGCTCACAGGTCTTTCCAAACAGGCTGTAAAACAGCTGCAGTACATTCAAAATGCAGCAGCTCGAGTCCTGACAAGAACCAGGAAGTACGACCACATTAGTCCAGTCCTCAGGTCTCTGCACTGGCTTCCTGTGGCTCAGAGAATAGACTTTAAAACAGCTCTGCTTGTGTACAAGTCTCTCCATGGCCTCGCACCAAAATATATTAGTGACATGTTAGTCCCATATGAACCAGCCCGGACTCTGAGGAGCACAGGGACTGGACTCCTGTTAGTGCCCAGAGTCAGAACTAAACATGGGGAGGCTGCTTTTCAGATTCATGCTGCTAAAATCTGGAACAGTCTTCCTGGAGATGTGAGACAGGCCTCCTCTCTGACAATGTTTAAAGCCAGGTTAAAGACAGTTCTGTTTAGCTGTGCATACAACTGAGGGATTTTATATTTGTATCTTTCTTTTTAATGTTCTGTGATTATTTATGATTTTAATGCTTTCTTGTTTTGTTCAGCACTTTGAATTGCCTTGTGTATGAATTGTGCTATATAAATAAACTTGCCTTCGGCACAGGTCGAACAGCCCTTAGGACGGCCTGATTTTGGGAGATGGGTTAATTCAAGATAGGGCATTATTTTCATTTTTCTAACTTCACAAAAATGAATAAAATAGACTGTAACATTGGTCCACAAGCATGGAGAATAACACCCGATTCAGTCGGTGCAGTATACGGCAAAATTTGATCTCTTAGGCCCTCCAATTAAAAACAGAAGCAGCCCTCCATCAGTCTGCGCATGCGCCTCGCTCAGTCTTTCGTCTACTTCTGAGGAGGTGGGGTCAGTATTTTAACACTCTACATGATTTCGGTTTTAATATAATAGAAAACTTTGATATCCAAATTAAATGTTATTTATGATTGTTACAAATGCAAATGTACAAGAAGTCAGCAGCCTTTTGAATCCATGTTTTAAGTCTGTAGTTTACAGTGATGGGTAAGACGGAATGTTTAAGAGTGTGCAGGCGCTTAAGCCTAGTGTTGTCTACTGTAGGTTTATGTGAATAGTGTTAGTATTACTCAGTCTCTAAATCCTTGACAATAGTTTTATGGATTCATTATTTTATAATCATTTCAAATACTGTGATGCGGTGAATAAAGACCACAGTTCGTTGTTGGAAAACATCGTTATTATAAAACAGTTTTCCGCACAAACAGCAAAACTATAATAAGTGGTAATACCAATACGAGTGTATAATTTAGATATAAGTTATATATAATGTTAGATATAAGATTATATATATGTTAGCGATAGTCCACAGTCTCCTGAATATCAGCGCTCTGAGCCCAAACTAGCTTGTTCCCTTTCGAAGCACAAAGCTCTCTGCTTCCATAGTGCCTCGTCCATGCTCCTGCTGCCGCCGCCTTCCGTGCTTCCTTCCAATACACACAGCCACGGACCAATCACAGCGGAGCTTCCTTGCGGCGACCCTTAAAGGAGTCAATATGTAAAAATCTGGCCAAAGGTGGTACTCGCAGTCACAGTCAATATTTGTAGTCCCTCTCTCACCTCTCACCTACCTCAGGTTGCCAGATCACACCAAATCCAGCAGCAAAACACAGGAATTTTTTTATCAGTTGTTTGTTCGTCTCCAATTCTCATTGCGTGACAAAGCCGTGCTAATGCTGATTGAATGTTTTGATATGTTTTTTTATTATTATT